CACAATCCAACTCCTTGGATTGAGGTAGACCTTCCCTTCAGACTAGTTCTGAATGTTGGTTTGACAAATATCTCTATCCCCTTAAGATTGTAACAACTTTGTCTTTTAACAACATTTCTTTGGATATTTAATGGTAATGTGTTATTTTGAGCCCTATACATAACTGATAAAATACTGTAATCAACCAAATCATGGAACTTCAATAAGTTCAGTTGATAAAATAATGTGCTTGATGGGTGACAGTAATGCTTTCTGGTGATAATTCTTACAGCTCTTTTCTGTCAAATAAAAATAGGTTTTGTAAATGTTTTACACGCTTTCCCCCAAACATCAATGCAATAGATTAAATGTGGAACAATGATTGTGTTATACAACATGTACAGAGCTTTATCATTTAATAATTCCCTGACTTTGTATAGTACTGCAATACATTTAGATATTTTTGTTCTTACAGAATTTATGTGATTTTTCCATGTTAGCTGTTCATCAATGATTACACCCAAAAATTTCATCTCATTAACTCTACAAATCTCAACACCCTCAATTTTAAATGGATCATCAACAGTTCTCTTTTTGTTACTAAATATCATGTATTTAGTTTTATCTAAATTTAATGATAATTTATTAAGTTTAAACCAAGTTTGTATTGTATCAAATTCTGTCTTCATCAATTCCAACATCCGTTTTACATCTTTACCCAAACAAAAAAATGTGGTGTCATCTGCAAAAAGGACACATTTGAGGAGTCCTGATACATTCACTAAGTCATTCACATATAAAATAAATAACTTTGGTCCAAGTACAGAGCCTTGAGGAACTCCACAAGTGATATTGCACAGGTCAGATCTTACACCATTTATTTGTACAAACTGTTTCCTATCTTTTAAATAGCTAGATACCCAGTGTAATGCTGGTCCTTTTATACCATATTTATTTAATTTTTCAAGGAGAATAGTGTGGTCAATAGTATCGAATGCTTTTTTTAAATCAACAAAAATACTAACACAATACTGTTTTTGATCGACAGCAGTAGTTATTTGTTCCATTATTTCCATGAGAGCCATTGATGTAGAGTTTTTTGCACTAAACCCATACTGACTGCTACTTAACACATTCACGTACTTTTATGTACGTGAATGTTCCTGTAAAGTGCCCTGAGACAACTTTGTTGTGATTTGGCGCTTTATAAGTAAACTGAATTGAATTGAATGTTGCTGCTGATCTGTTTCATGTTGCTGCTGATCTGTTTCATGTTGCTGCTGATCTGTTTCATGTTGCTGCTGATCTGTTTCATGTTGCTGTGTTCATGCGTGCTCATCTGCTCACACAGACTCATGTTCATGCTGCTGTTCGACGTAATGTTTTTATGCTCTTAGTGCTTAGTGTATATTTAGTTCTTATCTTAGATCTTATTACTGTTTTTCTTTTTACATTTTATACTTTTGTTGGATGTAACTGGGATCCTGTGTACACAGTTTTGTTCCACCTCATGTACCACGTGGTGCGAATGACACAAAGACACTTTGACTCTGAAAGGGTTCACTTCTCGTAACACCTTTTATAGAAAATCCACACAAGACAAAGTGTAAGTTTTCAGAACGGCCTTCTGCAGAAGTGGGAGTTCAGCTCGACCAAGCGTCAGAGAAGGAGTCCGACTTCCTGCTCTGTGACGTTCGTATTTATTGAGCGAAGTGGGTGTGGGAACAAGAACAGCGAACTCAGCTTCTCTGTCACAGCAGAGACACAAATATGATCAAGAAAAACACAACAGAGACAGATTGGATACAGAAGGCAGGATGAACAAGGCCAGGACCAAACAGCATGTTTGTAGGTATCCAGGGTCTGGTCTTGGCACACACGAGCTGCAAACAGGAACTCTGGGCGTTCGGTGCTTCAGCACGTAGGAAAACTGAAGTGGACTCGAGTTCACACGACTCAAGTTTTAGCAAATAGTAAGAAGTCTAAAACAGTTTAAATGGTAACATTTTTCAAATTACCCAACAGACTCTCATCAAGATGTTTTCTGACAAAGCCTAAAAATGATTATCTTTTCATTTGGTCAGAAAAGTTTCAGAACCATCGGCCAGTTTAGAATAAACTGAAAATACAACATTTAATCCACATTTGTCATAATGAAGAGTTGTGTAAATAAAAACAACCACTTCATGCTGGCTTTGATTCAGTAATCATTTGATTGATTTGATTAATTATTAATAATTTAGCGTCTGATATACTGTATATAATTTTTTTCCAGCCATCTAGTGGTTGTTTTTATTTACGCAGCTCTTCATTACCACTGAAATAAAGCACGATGATTATAAACTAATATAATTATTTCCATGGTGAAGCAGCGCTACGTCACCCGTGCGACCTGGAAGTGTTGATTGACTCTATGGATCGTGCTTCCGCTACAGATTGGGTAACCACAGGGCATTCTGTGTCACAAACACCTGCCCCCATGAGGGGCGGGGTGCTGGGGACCACGAGCTCCTAGCCTTGTCAAAGGAAAATCTTAGTGACAGGAAACTACCGCGAGATGGCAGGAAGTCTTTCAAAATAAAATAAAAACATATAAATATGTTCCTGCATATAAACCGCAGGGTACAAAGTGTGAGACAAAAGTAGCGGCTTATACACGGACAGTTACGGTAGTATCTTAATAAGGTCGGTGGAGTTTTGTTGAAAGAGGTGGGACACAATCTTCTTGACCTTAAATCAGACACAGAGTCCAGACAAAGTCTTAAAGTCCTCCATCACTGAGCTCGGGTTCATTAGAGAAAATCATAAACTGAAGATGAACAAATATATAAAGCTGTGACCTCCATACACCTGAACTCATCCCTGATGTTCTCCTCACTGTTTTCAATCTTCTGAGGATCCGGCGTCTCTTCTCCGGTGGTTTATTGTCGTCCAGACACAAAGTAGGATGCAGGTTTTCCTCCATCGGCCGTTTGTCAACAAAGTGACACGAGCTCACATGCAGAGTTTAGGTGGTCTCTTCAAGTTCAGATGTTTCAGCCACGTTCTTCTTAATTCCTCATCTGCAGGTAGGAGATGAAACTCAACCTGTTTTCACAGGAACTTTTTGTTTTGGTCCATGTTCAAAGTCTGTTGTTGTAGCCGCTGATTTAGTTTGGTCTGGTTGTTCTGCAGCCCTGAACACAACAGGTACCTGAACGCAGCACGGCTATTTTAGTAAACTTTATGGTTGTTAAATAAATGTAACAAAACAAAAACAGAGTTTTATCTGATAAAGTGAATATAAATTACTTTCAAATAAACCGCGCTCCGCTACCATGGCTAGCCAATGCTGACTGCTACTTCCTGTCTGACAGGAAGTAGTACCAGAATCATTTAAACAGCAGAGGCCCCAGGAAGAAGGTGGATAGTTTAGTTTTATATTGGCAGACAAGTCACTTCAGCTTGCGTCACTGCAGAGCCCCGCCTCTCACTGCAGAGCCCCGCCTCTCACTGCAGAGCCCCGCCTCTCGTTTCAGTCTGGATGGAAAGAGAAAAACTTCCCTGTAGATGGTACATCCGGGTCAGTACCGGCGAAAAACGAATCAGGAAATGGAGTTGTACTCTGTTCCAGTAAACAACAAACGTCCGAGCACCGAGAGACTACGTTCCACTGAAACCCAGCTCCTGGTTCTGGAGGTCTCGTCTGAAGCGGTTCAGTTGTAACCAGGTGCTTGTCCACGAGCTGGAGGTGCACCTGGTTAGAACAGGTGTCCACTGGTTGATAAGATATTTTGCTAACAGACCGGTTGATCTCTGTTCTCTTGGCTCCAGACTCGGCTGAAGGAGACTCGTATTTTACCGACGTGGCTGAAGATCATCTGGACTTCGCTGGGTGAGTTCCTCTGCTGGAATCTTCAACCAATAGCTCTTCCTCTGTGACCTTCACCCTCCTCTTCATCAGAAACGTGAAGGGTCAAAGTGGGGAGGACAACTCTGACTCGGATGACCTGGACGATGAGGAGGTGTCTCTGGGCAGCATGGACGAGGAAGACTTTGGCTTGGAGCTGGAGGAGGAAGGGGGCACCTTTGTGGATCCTGATGAAGATGATGGTAAGTCTGGTTCTAGACTCCTTGTTTATCTGGATCCTGATGATCTAAACCCAGTTTATTCTTGTCTCAGGTCCAGAGCTGGAGGAGCAGGACGAGGCGGTACCTGAGGGTCAGTAGGAGGTCCGATCCAAAGCTTTTCATCGGGTCAGACGGGTTCTTTCAAACTTCTGTTTTCTCCTCACATTCAGACGAGCAGATGGAAAGTCCTGACGTTGCTCCTCAAACCACGAAGAAGAGGAAGTCCTCGGAGCAGCGGAACTTCTCAGGACCTTCAGGTTTGTTCCAGACCTTCCAGAACCGCTGTTGGTTCTGGACAAGCTTTGAATCTTTTGTTTCCTGCTTGTTTCAGGGAAGAAGCCAAAGAAAGATGCAGCGGCCATGTTTGCTTCTGCTGAGGAGGTGACGTGAACATCTGGAGTCAAATGTTGTTCCTCAGCTGCTCCTGTACAAACCCAACTTGTCATGTCAAACTTCTTCTGCAGTTCGGCTCGCTGCTGGACGAGAACGTCCACTCCAGGTTCCACAGCATCGGCCTCGATGCCATGGCCACCACAGACCAAGCAGGTGAGACCAGAACCTGGAGGGGATCTGCAGATCCACCGTTCTGCACAAAGGACAAAACCACGCTTGATGTTTTCTGACAGGAAATTGTTTTAATTACAACAAGAGAAAATCACCAGAGTTCCACTCAGAACCACAGACCCATGGATCTCTGTGGTTCTCTGTGTAGCAGATGTAGAAGAACGGAACTGTAAGGGTTCTGGTCCTGTCTCTGCAGGTGTGAAGCAGCTGGAGTGGGAGGCTCAGAGGGACGACTGGATCCACGGCCGCGATGCCAGGACCCTACGCCGGAGGAAGACCTTCTTCAGCAGGAAGAAGACCCCCGGCCCGGCCCGCAGGTCCAGGAAGAACAAGTAGTCCCTGGTGGTGGACTCCTTCAGTTGTGTTTGGCAGACCAGTCCTCGTGGTCCCTCTCCCGGATCCCGTAGACCCCGGCCATCTCATTGGAGCAATAAAAAACTGCAAGAGGAGAAGAACCTCAGCTGGACCCACAACAAGCTCCTTCTGTCACATGATATGTGTCTTTGTGGAGTGTTTCAGAACCTCCTGAGTCCAGTTCAGGGTCCTGAGGCTGGACTCAACAGTCCTACTAAATAAATAGAGGTTTTTGAGTTGGAAATAAAAAAGCACTGCTGCTCTGTTCAGGTCCAACAGGGTCCAACCAAAACTCAGCACGTGAACCAGAAAGAACTGAACACACGACTATATACAGGTCCTTCTCAAAAAATTAGCATATTGTGATAAAGGTCATTATTTTCCATAATGTAATGATAAAAATGAAACTTTCATATATTTCAGATTCATCGCACACCAACTGAAATATTTCAGGTCTTTAATTGTTTTAATACTGATGATTATGGCATACAGCTCATGAAAACCCAAAATGCCTGTCCCAAAAAATGAGCATATCATGAAAAGGTTCTCTAAACAAGCTATTAACCTAACCATCTGAATCAACGACGTAACTCTAAACACCTGCAAAAGATTCCTGAGGCTTTTAAAACTCCCAGCCTTGTTCATTACTCAAAACCACAATCATGGGTAAGACTGCCGACCTGACTGCTGTCCAGAAGGCCATCATTGACACCCTCAAGCAAGAGGGTAAGACACAGAAAGAAATTGCTGAACGAATAGGCTGTTCCCAGAGTGCTGTATCAAGGCACCTCAGTGGGAAGTCTGTGGGAAGGGAAAAGTGTGGCAGAAAACGCTGCACAACGAGAAGAGGTGACCGGACCCTGAGAGGAGGATTGTGGAGAAGGGCCGATTCCAGACCTTGGGGGACCTGCGGAAGCAGTGGACTGAGTCTGGAGTAGAAACATCCAGAGCCACTGTGCACAGGTGTGTGCAGGAAATGGGCTACAGGTGCCGCATTCCCCAGGTCAAGCCACTCTTGAACCAGAAACAGCAGCAGAAGCGCCTGACCTGGGCTACAGAGAAGCAGCACTGGACTGTTGCTCAGTGGTCCAAAGTACTTTTTTAGGATGAAAGCAAATTTTGCATGTCATTCTGAAATCAAGGTGCCAGAGTCTGGAGGAAGACTGGGGAGAAGGAAATGCCAACATGCCAGAAGTCCAGTGTGAAGCACCCACAGTCAGTGATGGTCTGGGGTGCCATGTCAGCTGCTGGTATTGGTCCACTGTGTTTTATCAAGCGCAGGGTCAATGCAGCAGCTATCAGGAGATTTTGGAGCACTTCATGCTTCCATCTGCTGAAAAGCTTTATGGAGATGAAGATTTCATTTCTCAGCACGACCTGGCACCTGCTCACAGTGCCAAAACCACTGGTAACTGGTTTACTGACCATGGTATTACTGTGCTCAATTGGCCTGCCAACTCTCCTGACCTGAACCCCATAGAGAACCTGTGGGATATTGTGAAGAGAAAGTTGAGAGAACAAGACCCAACACTCTGGATGAGCTTAAGGCCGCTATCGAAGCATCCTGGGCCTCCATAACACCTCAGCAGTGCCACAGGATGATTGCCTCCATGCCACGCCGCATTGAAGCAGTCATTCATGCAAAAGGATTCCCGACCAAGTATTGAGTGCATAACTGAACATGATTATTTGAAGGTTGGTGTTTTTTGTATTAAAAACACTTGTCTTTCATTGGTGGGATGAAATATGCTCATTTTTTGGGACAGGCATTTTGGGTTTTCATGAGCTGTATACCATAATCATCAGAATTAACACAATTAAAGACCTGAAATATTTCAGTTGGTGTGCAATGAATCTGAAATATATGAAAGTTTCATTTTTATCATTACATTATGGAAAAAATCACCTTTATCACAATATGCTCATTCTTTGAGAAGGACCTGTATGACCAGACACCTGAATCTATGAAAACCTGAACAAGCCTGTCTGTCTCACAGGACTCGCACACCTGTCTGTCTTCATCACAGCTCTTGCACACCTGACTTTAATTCTTTTCACTTTTGAGTAAAAACTGGTGCGTTCACTGACAGGAAGAAATGTAGTAGTTTATTGTGCCACCTCAAACTGTTTCTGCTGGAACCTCAGTACCCGGTCCTGGTGTTCATGTAAACTTGAGAACTCTTCCTCTGGTTTCACCTACACCACACAAACCAGGGTCTCTGAAAACCACACCAAGTTCCACCTGAATCTCTGGAACCAGGTCTGTAAAATCCAAAGACCACAGACTGTGGGTTCTGACTGAGGTTCCACAGAAATAAGTCTTGTAAAGAACCGGAGTTCTACTCCCAGCTGTTTGGACATCCGGTGGGTTTCAGCAGCTGGTTCTATGTGCACACATTTTAAACCTGGTTCTAGACACAACCTGGTCCAAGTCGGTGCGTTTACCTTCCAGGACTGACGGGAACCTCTTGTTCATGGTGTTTCTGAAATCTGCAGAAAACGAGACGTTTCAGCAGCGGTTCTACTCCAACACAGGTGAGTGCGGTTCTGATGACCTGGTTCAGTACCTTGGCTGGTGTTCATCCTCTGGTAGAGGTCGTAGGCCCCGAAGAGCCCGAGCAGCTCCAGAACTATGATCCCCTTGAAGAGCTTCTTGGCCAGAGGAGCCAGAGGTTTGTCAGGCATCTGGAGAACGTGCACTGCACCGTCACCTAAAGGTTTTATATTTTATAAAGTTTCTATTGAATCAAACGTCTTACCATACTATTTATAAAGCACTTAAAACAGCTACAAGGCCAACCAAAGAGCTGTACAGACAGAACAACAGGTAACACACAAAGCAAAATGAGGTCAATCAGAATATAGACATAAAAACGATGCAGATAATGACGACAAACCAGGACAGTCTGGAGAACTGGCACATAAAATCACTAAATATTTAAATTTAATCCTCTGTAAAAGTAGTTTTAAACTAGAAATTACTCACGGTCAGATTAAATATCCGGAAGTGTCCAATATATTTCAGTAAAAAGATGCTTTAATGGAAAAAGAATGTCCGCCTGAGACAAGCTACTGAAGGACAGCACAAGCTAAAATAGTTACATTCTACTTCCGGTGAACGGCGGCCCAGGAGGGACAAAAATGTTTCAACGAGTTTAGAGAAATACTGCCTCTAGCGGTGAGGAGAGGAACCAGTTTTTGTTTTTTTACATTCATGGGGTTTTTGATCTCAGAGACGGGATTAAAATGTAATTAGGACCCGGTTCTGAGCAGATCAAAAAGCCCAGGACCAGTCTATATAAATCTAATCTTACAAAAAGATTTGAAGCTCTCGACCTTTGACCTCTCTAAGTGTCTAAGAATCTGTTGGACACCTGGCAGGGTCCAATGCAGACATGTTCCTGTTTTTAGTTTTCTACATTTGCTTAAGAATCTAGCTCTTTTTTGTTACTTTTATTTTTTTAGCCATCTTGTTTGTTAAAAAAAATCTGTATGCCTTTTTATAACCGTCTATTGTTGTCACTGTTGTCCATTGTTGTCATCATTCTTTGTTGAAATCAGGTCTCTTGTAACTGAGTCCTCGAGGCTCAATGGGATTTACCTGTAGAAATAAAGGTTGAATGAAAAAAATATCTAACACAACCTTTCTACTGGTTACCCTGATAGATGCTCAATAATCCAGGTAGTAAAATCTAATTAAAAAAGTTAAGTCACGTCCTCTGGACGTTCAACAAACAGAAAAAAGGTAGAAACATTTTGTCTTTAATCAACAAGACTTGTTCAGTCTGAGGTGCTGTATTCAGCTCAGTCTCTTAAATAGCACCTTCTCAGAGTGGATCAACCAGTTTTGCTGCTGACAACCAGAACCAGCTGCTCACATGCTCAAGAAGGACCATCAGCCTAACAATGGATCATTAGCACCTGATGGCTGTTTACTGTTCACAGAGGGCTGAGTGATACTAGCAATCACAGCATTGTAAGAGGGGGACAGTTGAACCTGGAGGCTCCGCCCCTGTTTAATGATGGACGATTTTGTTGTTTTCAACCACTTTGACTCAGTGAGGACTGAACTAGACAAAAGGACCTTCTCCTACTCCGCTCCTGTTTCCTGGAATATCTTACAAAAAGATTTGAAGCTCTCGACCTTGACCTCTCTAAGTGGCTTTAAGAATCTGTTGGACTCCTGGCAGGGACCAATGCAGACATGTTCCTGTTTTTAGTTTTATACATTTGTCTCGGAATCTAGCAGTTTTTTTGGTTTTGTTACCTTTTTCCTTTTAGCCATCCTATTTGTTAAAAAAAAAACAAAAAAAAACTGTAGTATGACTTTTTATAACTGTTTATTGTTGTTGCTGTTGTCCATTGTTGTCATCTTTCTTTGTTGAAATCAGGTCTCTCTTGTAAATGAGTCCTCGAGGCTCAATGGGATTTACCTGTA